ATTGATTTTTCTGGGCTTTCTTGCACTTCTCTCCAGCAATCCCCTGGTGTGGTCTTTGGCTGTATTGTTGCAAAAATTATCTTTTACTGTACTGAATTTTCTTTGTCCAACATCTTCTAAACCACAGTGAAGCACATACTCCTTGGAATATGTCATGTCCAGTTTCGCCCACTGGGAGTCCACTTTTACATACAAGGTCACCACAGCATGCTAGTGGAAGGATGTCTCCCTCTCCAATATCTAGCCCCCATACAGCATCTGGTTCATCCACTCCTCTCACTGGTGGAAGCGGTGCTATCCCATTTCATCAATACCAGCAGCCAACAAACTACTTACAAGAAGCCATTGCAATTGCCCCCAGGTCCCAAAACAATTTCTATACAAATGCTAGCAACCCCTATCAAGATCCTCGGCATGATTTTTTCCGTGGAATGTCACAAGCCTCTCGTGTTTTCAGGGAAGTTATTTCATCTGACGGAGCAACTCAAGTAAACCAGTTTGGACGTCCTGGCAATGGGGACCTCAGGGATTTCTATGACGGACGACTGGTCTTGTCTGATCAGGTGTCTGAGCAGATCTTGAGAAATCATCCAAAGTTGAACCCTTCTGTGGACTTAAATCCAAGCTCATCAATGCTTGGTCGCATTAATGGAATGTAGTCTTCAAATGAAGTCTTGATTATTGCTCCAAGCATGCGAATTCCTGTCTGATGCTCGACGATGGTTTTGTCATAATCATTACAAAGAACACCAATATGCATGAGGAAGAATCAAATGAACAAGTTGGATCTTCTGGAAAGCTAGAACAGCAGAAGAATGATTTCAGTATATAGTGGCTTTGGTGTTCTCAGTCAGTCTGGTGAGTGGTTTTTTCCATCCTGGCATCTTGTATGTTTGGTCCAGTGTCCACTTAAATGACTCACTCTCTTTGACACAATGCGGATGTTTGAAAGATCTTTTCCCCAAGAAGAGAGCTCGCAGATACAAGACACGAGGAAGTTTGGTATTGTAAAGAACTGTATATTGTTTTTACACTTGAAACACAGAGGAGTTAGAAAGAAGAGTTATATTAAACATTGGATTCATCTTTTTCCTCTTCCCCTCAACTAAATTTTGGGTGGAAGGATGGTCATGGGGTTGTACAGAAGAACCGCAGCTATAAGTTGAAAGAGTTGCCGGTTGTCTAGATGGCAGAATCTGCCTGATATTTGACTGTTGTATTAAGGTTTTTGCTTTTTTCTTTTTTCTTGTCCTCGGCTCATTGCAGCAACTAGGCCTAAAACTTGTTATTCTGGCCGAATTGCTGATAATATTATATTTAGTTTATACTTGTATCCATTAAATTGAAGAAATCTATTATTCCACCTGTACTTCGGAAACTCTTGGCAAAACAACTTTACATTTCAACTTATATTGTATGTTTCCTTTGTATTAATGGTGAAAAATAAGATCATGCCTTAGAAACTTATTAATGCTGATCACAGAATGAAAAGAAAAAAATAATAAGAATATAAAACAAAAAAATTTCTGGCACAATAAATAAGCATTGATGGGTCACTATTTTTGGCCACATAGCAGGTGTAGCCCTGAGTGTTCTCCAATACCGAGCCCTAGAATGGCAAGCCCTGGTCCCAGCTCCAGAATACACAGTGGTCCTGTCACTCCTTTGCATCCACGAGCTGGAGGGCTGTTAGTGAGTCTCCTAATGCCCGGCCTGATGATGTGAAACAACAAAGCCACCGATTGCCCCTTCCCCCTATAACAATCTCTAATACTTGTCCTTTTTCGCCCTCATATTCAACTGCAACATCTCCATCAGTCCCTAGAAAGTCCAGGAGGGTAGAAAATCCAATGACCCTGGTTCACGCTGGAAAAAGGCCGATTGCTGGAAGAGGCACATTTGGACATGTCTACCTTGGTTTTAACAGGTCTGTTGCTAAAGGAGGTGTCTACTTAGCTCTTGTAGTCATTCAATATTTTGTTCCCTTCTTTAATGAATTCTCACATTTCATGCATGTTACCATTGTTTTCTGACACCTTTTTTTTTGGCTGTTACCAACAAAAAATTAAAAGTAGTTGTGTTCTACATATGCATTTGAGCATCAAGTTGATCCTTGTTTATACATTGAATTTCAGATTGAAGATGTCCAGGTTCAGCATTGATATTACCTTGTGACAATATTTCTTAAAATAGAAGTTATAGACTACTTTTTGTACAAACTTAATGCATATCTATTTTTCTGTTTATTTTATTGTTGGGCTTCAGTGAGAGTTGTGGATATATGTGCAAGTGAATTTATCACTATGTTCATTTACTTCTCTCTAGATTTTGCATATACGATTTTCTGATTTTACTTTGTTCTTTGGGCTTTAGTGAAAGTGGTGAGATGTGTGCTATGAAGGAGGTAACCTATTTTCAGATGATGCAAAGTCAAAAGAAGTGCACAACAACGGGGCAAGTAAGGTTTTCTTCTTTAATTATTTATTTTTAATAGTTTTTTCTCTCTTATTCTTTGATTAATTTAGAATTTGCCGGCTAGTAGGAAGTTTTTAAGTTTGAAGAATAGAATTTATGGGTTCTTTTAGGGTAATATTTTATGGTTCTAATGATATTTGACAGGAATTGCAATGCTGAGTCGCTTAAGACATCCAAATATAGTGCGGTATTATGGATCCGAAAGTGTAAGTTCTATATACTTTTCAGCTTTATTGCTGATAATATATTTAGACTAGCTTGAGCAGTCAATTTCTGAGGATTTGACCATTGAAAAATTGTTAGCTATGATTTTTCCTCCAAATTTCTAAAGCTTACAGAAGTTCTGAACTATACAATAGTACCACTTTTGTACTTGCTATGATTCAATTTACATTTTTGCATATGTATCCAAATGCTTTATCAATAGATTGTATTTGGTAGACCTTTATAAAGAATTGAATCAATGCCTTGATCATTTAACTTATATTAGGCTTTTTATGTTATGAACAGGTAGATGACAAACTTTATATATACTTGGAGTATGTGTCTGGTGGTTCCATTTATAAACTTCTTCAAGATTATGGCAAGCTTGGTGAGAATGCTATACGCATTTATACTCAACAGATTTTGTCAGGGCTTGAATATTTACATGCTAAGAACACTGTCCATAGGTTAGTGTACTTGTTGAATCTTTTTTTTTGTTACACAGAAGCAGCAGTTATCTGATTTTAATATTTATGTGTGCTAATCATCTTGGATCTTTTGTGCTTATGGATTAGTTTTAATCTTGTTCAGAACATTAAGGAGCTAATATATGGTAGACCCCAATGGCCGTGTGAAATTACCGATTTTGGGATGGCAAAGCATGTAAGAATATACATCTTAAATTTTTGTTCTATGTTCACAACCACAGTCAGAATGAGTAGATTTGACCTAGGATGTATGACAAATGGAATTCTAATTATATCATACAATTATTCATCCTAGACTAAAATGAAAGCGTACTGTCTGTAAAATTTGATATTTTATTAAGTGAAGTATGAGGGGTTTGTTCTAATATTGTTTATCTGAATTGCAGATCACTGGGCAGTCTTGCCCATTGTCATTCAAGGAAGCCCTTATTGGTGGCACCTGAGGTCAGAATTGCTTTAATATTATACCCTTGCATTAAGATTCTCTTTGATGCTTTCTGAATATTTAATTGCATTATCATTCGTCATAAAGAATTCAAATGGTTGCAATCTTGCTGTTGATATATGGAGCCTTGGTTGTACGGTTTTGGAGATGGCACACCACATCCACCTTGGAATCAGTATGAAGGGGTTAGTAAATTTTAGTACAAAAATTTGACATGTTTTATTTTGAGATATATTGTAAATTTGAATGCCAGTTTTTGTACAGCTAAATACTTTTCTTGGTGAGTCTTTGTGTGCTGGAATCTGAATTATTTTGCAGTTCTTTCCAATTGTTAATTCATTTACCATATTACATTTCTTTTATCATTTGTGTATGTGCTGCTTTAAAGGTGGCTGCTATGTTCAAGTTGGAAACAGTAAGGAACTCCCTGCTATTCCTGATCATCCTTCGGATGAGGGAAGGAATTTGTGAGGCTCTGTTTACAACGAACCCAGCGCAACTCCTACAGCAGCTATGCTTTTAGAGCACCCTTTTATTAAAAATTCTGCCTCATTGGAAAGACCTATTTTCAGTGCTGAGCCGTCAATGCAATCCCTCCAGTCACAAATGCAAAAATACTGGTATAAGCATGATGGACTATTTTCTTTTCAATATGATGTGAAACAAGTTTTATTATTTTCTGTATTTTTTTGTTTCCTCCTTCATTTTTATTTTAGTTCAAATAGTTAAATTTATAATTTTATTTCCTTCTGTATGTAGACTAAAATTACAATTTATTCAGTCTGATAAAAAAATGTTTCAAGTTATTTAGAGCTAACAATCATATTTATTCATTAATTCTTTTGGATTTTCTTATCACGGATTTGATGACCTGTCACTCGGTGATTCAAGTTGTTCTTAATAATTTGAGAATCTAGTAGCCTCCCCAGTTCAGGGAGAAAAAATTGAACTTAGAAACACCAAGACTGTTAATTCCTGAGATGATGTGTATGAGAAAAAGATGAAGGAAATTTTAACAACATTTATTTAATCATCTAAGTGATTACATAAACACCAACCAATAATAAAGAAATTCGCTTGTTGCATGGTGAAATAAGAATGGTTTAGATTGTCAATTTAATTACAGACGTAGGCATAGAGACATGATGGACTATTTGTTGTCCATATGTTGAAAAAGTTTTATAATTTTGCTTGATTTGTTTCCTTCATTATGCTGATATGTTTTTATTGACTACTTTGTTCTAGTTCCGGAAAGCTATGATTTGTTATTCTTTATTTTCTTCTATATATATGATTAGTTTAGTATAAATAGATTGTAATGTTTCTATTGTACAAGTTAAAAGTTACCGATAATTTTTTTTTGGTTTATTCTACACAGACAGACACACACTCTCTCTCTCTCTAAAAAGTTTCCATCACTCTCTCTCTCTGCATTTCTTCTACTTTGGTGTTTGGTCTGAGCCTTTTCAGTTTCTATTCGTTGTGGAAACTGGGGCCTTTTTTTGGGCTACACACACACACTTGTACACTGTAAGTAATGTTAGAATTTTGTTTTTTTTATTCTTTGATATTTTTGAGAGTGATTTTTTAGCTGCAAAGAAGTTGGTAACTTTAGAGATTTTGAAAACTTGATTTGTTTGTTGTTTGTGGGTATGTTGAGTTTGTTAAGTTTTGTTTAATGAGTTTGTAGAGTGTTATTTGAGATTTTGCTGCGTAAATTTGGATTAATTTTGTGTTTCAAGATATGGGATTTTGTTTTTAGATGAAGTTTGAGGTGGGTTATAAGTTGGAGTGATTTTGTTATGTGTTTCATGATAAATGGATTTTGTTTTAGTTATGTCAATCTTGTTGATTTGATATGAATGTTTGTTTTGGTTGATATGTGAATGGTTGAGTTTATAGATCTGCGTTGATACAGTGTTTTGGGTTCTTGAGCTTTGAGCATCTGGTTTCGCATATTGGTTGAAATTGGTGTTAAAGCGAGGATCTCACTTATTAGTCTTATGGTAGTGAAAGAAACTCTTGTTAATTTCTTTTTGCGATCAAAATTTTTGCTTGGAATGGGTTAAAACTGAGAATTATTCATGTAATCACAGATGTTAGTGTCTCTGGGTGTGGCTGTCCTTCGAGGAACGAACTTCATTTGTTCATGGCTCTGAATTTATAATGATTACTATTAGATTAACCCGGAAAAAGAAAAGTATTGCTGGCCAGCAAGAATTGCTTTGTTTGGAGGTCTGTAATGGTTTGCATGTGCATGTGATTTAACCAGCTGACAGTCCTATAATAGGACAGAGATTTTGCGTGACATTACAACTCAGTGGGTTATGATTGTTTGATTATGTTTCTTTTGGAAAATTTTAATAATCTACAAATTGTTGCAAACATTGGTTCCTGTAACTTCGATTTAAAGTGGATTGAAATTTAGAGGAAGATTTCTTTGTTTTCAAAGTGTGTGCTTGTGTTTTTACTAAAAATACTTATTATTTTTCTAAGCTTCAATGAATCAAAAAAAATTTCTTGCTGAGCCGAATAGGTCTAGAGATTTTTCTATTTGGATATGATCACAAATAACCAGATCATATAAATGTTGTATTATTCTTCTGTGGTAGAGTTTATAGTAAAATACCTGTTTTTGTTGTTTACAGTTTCTTTCAAGTCCCCCTGATTCTCTGGTTGGCATTCTTGGACTTCATGTCATCCTTACAGACATATGAGTTTCAATTTTGGCCATTAAGTTGGCATCTTTACAGCTGATCTGTAGTTTTGGTATTGAATCTTAAGTTGGGGATTGTCCCCTTTTTTTCCAGTAATTTTGAATATAAATATGCCTTCATGGTGGGGGAAGTCTTCATCCAAAGAAGAAAAGAAGAAAGCAACCAAGGAAAGTTTTATTGATACGATAAACCGCAAATTAAAGATTGCATCTGAAGAAAAATCCAGAAGTAGATCAGGAGTTGCTGGGAGACGTTATAATGACACTGTTTCAGAAAGGGGATCTCTATCCCGTGTGCCGTCAAGATCACCATCACCCACAACCCTTGTATCACGTTGCCAAAGTTTTGCAGAAAGGCCTGCCCAGCCACTTCCACTTCCGGTGGCTCACCTTGCTAGTCTTGGGCGCAGTGATTCCGGAATTAGTGCATCAACAAAACCAAAATTTGACAGAAGCGCCAAGACATCACTGATTTTACCCCTTCCAGCATCTGGATGTGTCCCTAGCAGGTTGGATTCTACTGATGCCGAGGGAGATTTAGCAGCTGGTTATTCTTCCGACAGCTCCAGTGATAGTGATGACCCATCAGATTCTCGTCTCCTTAGTCCCTTGACATCTGACTATGAAAATGGAACCAGAACTGCCTCGACCAGCCCTTCAAGGTGAGTTTCTATCCATGTCACTGTAAATCATTGTATTATTCATGGTGATCTCTCTCTCCAGAACTGTTTCATATCTGATAAACCCTTTTTAACCTTTGCTGAAGTGTAATGCAAAAGGATAAATCCCCTGCAATCAATCAGAAGAGCACTAGAGAGGCACTGAAACCATCTAGTCTTTTGTTCAATAATAAGACTCTTTCTACATCACCTAAACAGAGACATCTGGGCTCCCATGTGCAAAGTTTACAAATTCCTTATGCTTATGCTCCGTTTAGTGCTCCAGACAGCTCAATGTCAAGTCCTTCTACAAGTCCGATGAGAGCGTTCAGTACAGAACAAGTTTTGAATGCTGGATTTTGGATAGGAAGGCCTCATTCAGATATAGCTTTACAAGGATCTGGACAATGTTCTAGTACAGCCTCAGGCCATAACTCTGGGCCTAACTCAGTTGGTGGGGATATGTCGGGTCAGCTATTTTGGCCACATAGCAGGTGTAGCCCTGAGTGTTCTCCAATACCGAGCCCTAGAATGGCAAGCCCTGGTCCCAGCTCCAGAATACACAGTGGTCCTGTCACTCCTTTGCATCCAGGAGCTGGAGGGGCTGTTAGTGAGTCTCCTAATGGCCGGCCTGATGATGTGAAACAACAAAGCCACCGATTGCCCCTTCCCCCTATAACAATCTCTAATACTTGTCCTTTTTCGCCCTCATATTCAACTGCAACATCTCCATCAGTCCCTAGAAGTCCAGGGAGGGTAGAAAATCCAATGAGCCCTGGTTCACGCTGGAAGAAAGGCCGATTGCTGGGAAGAGGCACATTTGGACATGTCTACCTTGGTTTTAACAGGTCTGTTGCTAAAGGAGGTGTCTACTTAGCTCTTGTAGTCATTCAATATTTATGTTCCCTTCTTTTAATGAATTCTCACAATTTCATGCATGTTACCATTGTTTTCTGACACCTTTTTTTTTTGGCTGTTAGCAACACAAGAAATTAAAAGTAGTTGTGTTTCTTAACATATGCATTTGAGCATCAAGTTGATCCTTGTTTTATACCATTGAATTTCAGATTGAAGATGTCCACAGTTCGGCATTGATGTTACCCTTGTGACAACATTTCTTAAAATAGAAGTTATAGACTACTTTTTGTTTACAAACTTAATCCATATCATATTTTCTGATTTTATTTTATTGTTGGGCTTCAGTGAGAGTTGTGCGATATGTGCAAGTGAATTTATCAACTATGTTCATTTACTCTCTCTCTAGATTTTGCATATACGATTTTCTGATTTTAGTTTGTTCTTTGGGCTTTAGTGAAAGTGGTGAGATGTGTGCTATGAAGGAGGTAACTCTATTTTCAGATGATGCAAAGTCAAAAGAAAGTGCACAACAACTGGGGCAAGTAAGGTTTTCTTCTTTAATTATTTATTTTTAATATGTATTTTTTCTCTCTTATTCTTTGATTAATTTAAGAATTTGTCGGGCTAGTAGGAAGTTTTTAAGTTTGAAGAATAGAATTTATGGGTTCTTTTAGGGGTAATATTTTATGGTTCTAATGATATTTGACAGGAAATTGCAATGCTGAGTCGCTTAAGACATCCAAATATAGTGCGGTATTATGGATCCGAAAGTGTAAGTTCTATATACTTTTCAGCTTTATTGCTGATAATATTATTTAGACTAGCTTGAAGCAGTCAATTTCTGAGGATTTGACCATTGAAAAATTAGTTAGCTATGATTTTTCCTCCAAATTTCTAAAGCTTACAGGAAGTTCTGATACTATACAATAGTACCACTTTTGTACTTGCTATGATTCAATTTACATTTTTGCATATGTATCCAAATGCTTTATACAAATAGATTGTATTTGGTAGACCTTTATATAAGAATTGAATCAAATGCCTTGGATCATTTTAACTTATATTAGGCTTTTTATGTTATGAACAGGTAGATGACAAACTTTATATATACTTGGAGTATGTGTCTGGTGGTTCCATTTATAAACTTCTTCAAGATTATGGCAAGCTTGGTGAGAATGCTATACGCAGTTATACTCAACAGATTTTGTCAGGGCTTGAATATTTACATGCTAAGAACACTGTCCATAGGTTAGTGTACTTGTTGATAATTCTTTGTTTTGGTTACACCAGAAGCAGCAGTTATCTGATTTTAATATTTATGTGTGCTAATCATCTTGGATCTTTATTGTGCTTATGGATTAGTTTTAATCTTGTTCAGAGACATTAAAGGAGCTAATATATTGGTAGACCCCAATGGCCGTGTGAAATTAGCCGATTTTGGGATGGCAAAGCATGTAAGAATATACATCTTAAATTTTTGTTCTATGTTCACAACTCACAGTCAGAAATGAGTAGATGATGACACTAGGAGTGTATGACAAATGGAATTCTAATTATATCATTACAATTATTCATCCTAGACTAAAAGAATGAAAGCGTAGCTGTCTGTAAAATTTTGATATTTTATTAAGTGAAGTATGAGGGGTTTGTTCTAATATTGTTTATCTGAATTGCAGATCACTGGGCAGTCTTGCCCATTGTCATTCAAGGGAAGCCCTTATTGGATGGCACCTGAGGTCAGAATTGCTTTAATATTATACCTTTGCATTAAGATTCTCTTTGATGCTTTCTGAATATTTTAATTGCATTGATCATTCAGGTCATAAAGAATTCAAATGGTTGCAATCTTGCTGTTGATATATGGAGCCTTGGTTGTACGGTTTTGGAGATGGCTACCACCAATCCACCTTGGAATCAGTATGAAGGGGTTAGTAAAATTTTAGTACAAAAAATTGACATGTTTTATTTTGAGATATATTGTAAATTTGAATGCCAGTTTTTGTACAGCTAAATACTTTTCTTGGTGAGTCTTTGTGTGCTGGAATCTGAATTATTTTGCCAGTTTTTTCCAATTGTTAATTCATTTACCATATTTACATTTCTTTTTATCATTTTGTGTATGTGCTGCTTTAAAGGTGGCTGCTATGTTCAAGATTGGAAACAGTAAGGAACTCCCTGCTATTCCTGATCATCTCTCGGATGAAGGGAAGGAATTTGTGAGGCTCTGTTTACAACGGAACCCAGCGCAACGTCCTACAGCAGCTATGCTTTTAGAGCACCCTTTTATTAAAAATTCTGCCTCATTGGAAAGACCTATTTTCAGTGCTGAGCCTGCAGATGCAATACCTCCAGTCACAAATGCAATGAAAATACTGGTATAAGCATGATGGACTATTTTCTTTTCAATATGATGTGAGAACAAGTTTTATTATTTTCTGTAATTTTTTGTTTCCTCCTTCATTATTTATTTTAGTTCAAAATAGTTATAATTTATAATTATTTATTTCCTTCTGTATGTAGATTAAAATTACAAGTTATTCAGTCTGATAAAAAAATGTTTCAAGTTATTTAGAGCTAACAATCATATTTATTCAATTAATTCCTTTTGGATTTATCTTATCACGGATTTGATGACCTGTCACTCGGTGATTCAAGTTGTTCTTAATAATTTGAGAATCTAAGTAGCCTACCCAGTTCAGGGAGAAAAAATTGAACTTAGAAACACCAAGACTGTTAATTCCTGAAGATGATGTGTATGAGAAAAAGATGAAGGAAATTTTAACAACATTTATTTAATCATCTAAGTGATTAACATAAACACCAACCAAAAAGTAATAAGATAAATTCGCATGTGTATTGCATGGTGAAATAAGAATAAGGTTTAGATTGTCAATTTAATTACAGACGTAGGCATAGAGACATGATGGACTATTTTGTTGTCCATATGTTGAAAAAGTTTTATCATTTTGCTTGATTTGTTTCCTTCATTATGCTGATATGTTTTTATTGACTATTTTGTTCTAGTTCCGGAAAGCTATGATTTGTTATTCTTTATTTTCTTCTATATATATGATTAGTTTAGTATAAATAGGATTGTAATGTTTCTATTGTACAAGTTAAAAGTTACCGATAATTATTTTTTGGTTTATTCTATGTAGAATTTTTATCTTGTCATGTCAAACAAAGCAAAATCAGTCCACCGTGTGCTCCGCACAGCGTCAAATAATTATGTGATTTGATTCTCTTTTTTTGGTATTATGTCCTGTCACATATCTTTCTCCTTTTTTTTTTTTTTTCACACACACTTATTCAAGGTTGGCATGAGGGGTGGATTGATCCCTGGTATGAGGGGGAATTGATCCCCTATACCTGTCGGTCCTCAATAAGTGGTCTTACCAGCAATCCTAGGGGACAGATATACAATATTGGTGGTGGTTACATGGCTTGAATATCAACTGAGGAAGAGCCTAATTAACTTAAATAGTATATGTGATCTAAACCATTATGCAATTGCAAGGATTGTAGATAAACTTCCTTTATTTTTCTACTTAAGCTGTTATTCCTTTGTGGTTTTGTTAACTGCTTGTTTGTGCTTTTGTTCTTCTATTAGGGTGTTGGACAGGCCAGAAATCTCTCAAGCTTTGACTCAGAAGGGACTAACTACCAGTCCAGGGGATTAAGAACTGGTTCAGGATCAAGGTTTCCTTCTTTCTCTTCTTGTATACATGTATACACACACAAACTCTTGTTTTTATGAAACATATATGCTTGAAGTGCTACTTTCTTTGTCACACCAACAGTTGAACCTTGAGGGTTCAGAAGTCCAATTGTTAACCTTTTTGCCAGGAGAATTAATTTTCTTTTTCTTGCATGTTATCTAAAGGCTTGGAAGCTTTTCAGCTGAAGAGTTATCAGGGTTTATTAGTTTCTAAGAAGAGTCGCACAAATGCATATATAACAATAGTTTTAGTATTTTTTGTTTAACAAAGTGCAATGAGGACCATGATGTCTTACTCTGCGAAGGAAGTTAATGCAAGAAATTATACGATGAGTTGCAATCTGATATTTATTCTTTTGAAAGAAAAAAAATTAGCCTTATATTGATTTTTCTGGGCTTTCTTGCACTTCTCTCCAGCAATCCCCTGGTGTGGTCTTTGGCTGTATTGTTGCAAAAATTATCTTTTACTGTACTGAATTTTCTTTGTCCAACATCTTCTAAACCACAGTGAAGCACATACTCCTTGGAATATGTCATGTCCAGTTTCGCCCACTGGGAGTCCACTTTTACATACAAGGTCACCACAGCATGCTAGTGGAAGGATGTCTCCCTCTCCAATATCTAGCCCCCATACAGCATCTGGTTCATCCACTCCTCTCACTGGTGGAAGCGGTGCTATCCCATTTCATCAATACCAGCAGCCAACAAACTACTTACAAGAAGCCATTGCAATTGCCCCCAGGTCCCAAAACAATTTCTATACAAATGCTAGCAACCCCTATCAAGATCCTCGGCATGATTTTTTCCGTGGAATGTCACAAGCCTCTCGTGTTTTCAGGGAAGTTATTTCATCTGACGGAGCAACTCAAGTAAACCAGTTTGGACGTCCTGGCAATGGGGACCTCAGGGATTTCTATGACGGACGACTGGTCTTGTCTGATCAGGTGTCTGAGCAGATCTTGAGAAATCATCCAAAGTTGAACCCTTCTGTGGACTTAAATCCAAGCTCATCAATGCTTGGTCGCATTAATGGAATGTAGTCTTCAAATGAAGTCTTGATTATTGCTCCAAGCATGCGAATTCCTGTCTGATGCTCGACGATGGTTTTGTCATAATCATTACAAAGAACACCAATATGCATGAGGAAGAATCAAATGAACAAGTTGGATCTTCTGGAAAGCTAGAACAGCAGAAGAATGATTTCAGTATATAGTGGCTTTGGTGTTCTCAGTCAGTCTGGTGAGTGGTTTTTTCCATCCTGGCATCTTGTATGTTTGGTCCAGTGTCCACTTAAATGACTCACTCTCTTTGACACAATGCGGATGTTTGAAAGATCTTTTCCCCAAGAAGAGAGCTCGCAGATACAAGACACGAGGAAGTTTGGTATTGTAAAGAACTGTATATTGTTTTTACACTTGAAACACAGAGGAGTTAGAAAGAAGAGTTATATTAAACATTGGATTCATCTTTTTCCTCTTCCCCTCAACTAAATTTTGGGTGGAAGGATGGTCATGGGGTTGTACAGAAGAACCGCAGCTATAAGTTGAAAGAGTTGCCGGTTGTCTAGATGGCAGAATCTGCCTGATATTTGACTGTTGTATTAAGGTTTTTGCTTTTTTCTTTCTTCTTGTCCTCGGCTCATTGCAGCAACTAGGCCTAAAACCTGTTATTCTGGCCGAATTGCTGATAATATTATATTTAGTTTATACTTGTATCCATTAAATTAAAGAAATCTATTATTCCACCTGTACTTCGGAAACTCTTGGCAAAACAACTTTACATTTCAACTTATATTGTATGTTTCCTTTGTATTAATGGTGAAAAATAAGATCATGCCTTAGAAACTTATTAATGCTGATCACAGAATGAAAAGAAAAAAATAATAAGAATATAAAACAAAAAATTTTCTGGCACAATAAATAAGCATTGATTTTCCGTCAATCAGTTTTAGTTCTTCTTGTGTGATTGGTTTATACATATGACCGTTTCTCATATATATATATATATATATTGATGTGGAGAGCATGCAAGGAAGGTCAAAGTCATGGCACTACGAATCACCAGTGGTTCTTATTATCGAGGTACGATCTTAACAGCACTTCTGCTTCTCTTTTCTGGCGTTACTATCAATGGATTGGAAGACCAAAACATGGCAGATCTTGAATTAGATGAACAACTAAAGATATTGAACAAGCCCTACGTTAAAAGTATCAAGGTACTCAATTATATTTCACTATACCTACATTTTAATATATATAATACGGTTTCCATACTACCAGACTGAAGAAGGAGATACTTTCGACTGCGTCAACATCCATAAACAACCGGCTTTTGATCATCCTGTGCTGGAAAACCATAAACTCCAGGTATATCCACCTTATATTAGACTGAATGTAATACAGCAATGAAATAATGTAGTAATGAAAGAATTACTTGACAGATGAAACCTAGTTCTTCATTGACACAATCAATCAAGCCATCTGAAATTGGGATTAGGAGCATAAACTGCCCATTTGGTACAGTTCCAATCAAAAGAACTGGAAAGGAAGATTTAATAAGAGCTAAAATGTTTACCCAATCTCTAATCACAAATATTGGCCCTACGTCTCCTCCGAGTTTCCATGTAAGATCATTCCTCTTAGTTTCCATATGATGTTCAATGAAAAACACTAATTTTTTAAATAATTTTTTCATATATCAGTATGCAGTGAAAATACTGACTAACACTCCAAATAGAAAGTATTTGGGAGCCAGTGGACAGGTCAATATACAAAATCCCAAAATTCCAAAAGGTCAATTCAGTGAAGCCCTCATTCGTCTTCAAAGCGGTTCTGAAGATCAAATTGACGGTATTCAAGTAGGATGGATGGTAATAATAATAACCATAAATTTTTTCTCTGCATATATTTGTCTTGGACTCAATTATTTTTTATCCTAATTAATTACATTTAATTGCAGGTAAATCCAACATTATATGGTGATAATCGTACTCGAACTTTTACCTTATGGACTGTAAGTCTTGATACATTTCTGCCTCAAGTTCCAGCAAATTTCATCATAAAATTATCTTTACAAATAGTTCAATTTTATATATTTTTTTTCCTTACAGGCCGGAAGAAATGGTTGTTATGACATAATGTGCCCTGGTTTTGTGCAAGTTAACCCTAAACTAAGTCTGTCTTCAACCTTTACAAGGATTTCTGTATTTGGAGGAAAACAATATGATTTCACATTTACAGTATCTCAGGTCTATGAATTTACATTCAAGCTGCATGTAAAGTATATAATATATAAGTGGTCAAATTAAAGTAATCCTTTTAGATATGTTGATCACAGGACCCGAAATCCGGAAACTGGTGGCTTAAATATAGACGAGAAAATATAGGTTACTGGCCAAATTCTCTATTTACTCATCTGTCAAGCTCAGGAGCTACTGAGATTACTTGGGGAGGAGGAGCTTTCAGTGGTGGCATAAGCAATAGTCCTCCCATGGGAACTGGACATTTCGCTGAAGCAAATTACGGAAAGGCAGCTTATATACGACAACTTAAAGTTGTAGATGAATTCAACAGACTGCGATATCCTGATAAATCTTTATTTAAACTTTTCACTGACTGCACCTGTTATGACTTGTATGCTCTCACTGGACCCCTTGGAGCAGGATTTGGCTTCTTGTATGGAGGCCCTGGTGGTTGCGGTCCTTGAAAGTTAACTCACCAAAATAAATTTATGTCTTTCCTTTAGTCTTTGATTTAAAGATATTTAAGCTTCTAATATGAAATAACTAAGATAGTAATTAATCTCTATAATATTATAAATTTTTTATTCTTTTTGATGATCAAGGTATTCGGGCCAGCTTACATGTATCTCATTTAATCTTTTGAAAGCTTATAAAAACTCCAATAGCCACTCTTATTAGGGGCTATGGAGACTTGAACTCGGGAGACAGTGTTAAATTATATATAAGTTGGATACTTATACAAAACCTAGGTCATCAAGTCATGGCACTATGAATCACTAGTAATGGTTTTTATCAAGATTTGACCTGGACAATATTTTTATTTCTATTAACTGTGTCATTCACCATTTTTTCTGTAGATGGGCTGGAAGGGCAAGAGATCAATTTTGAAGATCTTAATCTGGATGAAAAGCTCTACATATTGAACAAGCCCCATGTTGAGAGTATACAGGTAGTTAATGGCTTTCACAATAGTTTGATTTCAATATAACACGAATTTCTGGCTATAATTGCAGCGCCCTGTTACCAGATTCAAGCTTCCCATAAACTATAGCTACAATTTATCAGACTGAAGATGGAGATATTTTCGACTGCGTCAACGTAAATAAACAACCAGCTTTTGATCATCCTCTGCTAAAAAACCATAAAATCCAGGTAAATCAACAGTATATTCAATCTTTATGATCAAGAATCAAAGTATACTAACTTATGATTGAACTGCATAAACTAGGTACTTATTTGCAGTAGAATGATAACCCTCGTCTTCGTTTTCAGTTTATTACGACAAAGCTGTAACAAAACCAATGTGTTGCCTATATTCATTTTTAATATATTTGCTCTGAAAATTGTTAAAGAAATGACTCCACAGATGGAACCTAGTTCTTCTTTGAGGAAAATGATTATTCCGGTTTCATCATCAAGCAAGCCTTCTTTGAAGTACCAAATCAACTTTTTGAGCCTTTTAATTAATTTATCTATTTACTCATCTATCAAGCTCAGCTACTGAGATTATTTGTGAAGGAGGAGTTTTCAGTGGTAGCCACTAGTCCTCCAATGGGAACTGGACGTTTGGCTGAAGCAAATTTCGGAAAGGCAGCTTATATTCGACAACTTAAAATTGTAGATAAATTCCAACACACTGCGATTTCCTGATAAAAAAATTATTTCAACTTGTGTTGACTGGCCCTCTTACGACTTAGGTCCACTCTCTGGAATCCATGGAGCAGGATTTGGACTCTTATATGGGGGCCCTGGTGGCTGCCCCCCTTAAAAGTTTGGATTAATTATAGTTCCAATTTGCAGAATCTGTCAATCATGAGCCTTCTCAGAGGCCTGACAATAATCTGCTTTATTGTCAGGGTGTAATCTGCTTTATTTCTTCACAGTAAGAAAAGAATTTAATTTAAGTAGTATATATTTAGCTAATAAGTTAAAATGAAGTTACTGTAAATTAAGATCTCTTACTACATATGTAACCGTCATTGCTGCATAGAAGCTAGAAAGCAAGAGATCAAGTCATGGTTGCTTTAGGAATCACCAGTGGTTCTTATCAAGATTTAACCTTAACCACATTTTTGTCTCTCTTAACTGTGTCAGTTTACATCATAACTGTAAATGGATTGGAAGGGCAAAAGATCAGTTTTGAAGATCTTGATTTAGATGAAAAACTCAAGATATTGAACAAGCCCTATTTTAAAAGTATCAAGGTATTTAGTCACTTCTACTATAGCTAGGTATTAACATAATTCCAATTCCTATAATTGAATTCCTTACTACCAGATTTAAGTTCAATAAAATTAGTTTATGGATTTGTTTGATCTAAGATTCAGACTAATTTTTATCATTTACTAGACGGAAGAATGTGATATTATCGACTGCATCAACATCAATAAACAACCAGCTTTTGATCATCCTTTACTAAAAAATAATAAAATCCAGGTAGTCCAAATCATATATATAAACAAATTAATTACAGGTAAATCCAACATCAAGGGGTGATAATTACACTCAATCCTTTACCTTCTGTACTGTAAGTCTCGATATTACTTGTAAATATCCCGCAAATATTCACATAAAATCAACTTTTGCTAACCATTACATCTCTTTAATTATTTTTTCCACAGATCGACCAAAAAGGTTGTTTGGATTTAACGTGCCCTGGTTTTGTGCAAGTTAACCAAAAAATTAGTCTTAGTTCAACCTTTCGCAAGGTATCTGTGTATGGAGGAGAGTAATCTCATTTCACATATACAGTATTGTTAAATAATTGAAGTATAACGACGTCGTTTTAACCAGGAAACAAAACGCTGCCGTTTTGTTTAACATCCCAAATGAATCTCAGCCATCAACAATAAAGAGAATCCAACGGCTCAAATGCGTTCAGAAGTCAACAGTATAAAAGGGGACTATTCATGCATTAAGGGTAATCGAGTTTTTAGGTTATTCGTTCTTCTTCTCTGAAAAATTGGTGGGTGGTCTGTGTTAGGGTTTACATACTCATTCTGGTTTATCTTCTCTGTGTGAATCCTTTAGAGTTGTGTTTGAGGGCAGGGGTTCCTTGAAGGTTATAGAGCACTCTAGAGTTGTTAGGATTTGCGGGATACAGAGAGTGAGTGAGTGATTGTTTCTGAGATTGTTAGTGAAGAAGATTCTTCTGTAAAGTGTAATCTTTGAGGATATCAATACTAGTGCAGCGAGCTCCATATTCTGGAGTTCAACGTGGATGTAACTTGTTCTATCTTGAACAAGCGAACCACGGTATATCTTGTGTTGTGTGTGTGTGCCTTGNAAAAAAAAAAAAAAAAAAATGGGTTAGTTTGCTTGGATATGTGTAAGATAAATAACAAGAGCTATTAGAAGCTGGTGCAAGTTGAATATGTCAAGAGGGGACTGAAATACTTTAGTCTAAAGTCTAAACATATGACAGAATATTGTGTTATTAAAAAATAAAAAAATAAAAAAAAATTCAGCTTGTGTTTTCTCAGATAAGTTCATATCAGGTGTCATGGAGCCCTATCTAG